TTTTTTTGTTTGAGGGACACCAAATTTGGGCATTTTTGCATTGAAATGCGTGTTTCTCAGCTGGGTGTAACATAAAGATAAACACAGTACTGTTCCTCTAACTGAACTACCAAAGAAGAACACAGTACCCACCTGTTCTGTTCCTCTAACTGAACTACCAAAGAAGAACACAGTACCCACCTGTTCTGTTCCTCTAACTGAACTACCAAAGAAGAACACAGTACCCACTGTTTNTCTCTGACTGAACTACCAAAAAAGAACACAGTACTCACCTGTTCTGTTCCTCTAGCTGAACTACCAAAGAAGAACACAGTACCCACCTGTTCTGTTCCTCTAGCTGAACTACCAAAGAAGAACACAGTACCCACCTGTTCTGTTCCTCTAACTGAACTACCAAAGAAGAACACAGTACCCACCTGTTCTGTTCCTCTAACTGAACTACCAAAGAAGAACACAGTACCCACCTGTTCTGTTCCTCTAACTGAACTACCAAAGAAGAACACAGTACCCACCTGTTCTGTTCCTCTAACTTGGCCAGTAGCTCCAGCTCCTCCTCTCCAAGCCGGTCCTTGTCAGGAGAAGAGAGGGGAGTCTCCATGTTGGGCTCTTATAGGGGACACCAAGCTGTGGGAGACATCACAATAATGTAGCTTGGAAAGCATGAGGCATAATGTGTATAAACTTGAAAAAAAAAAATGAAGTGACAAGCTAGGACTAGGGGAAAAAATAAACCAGGCCTAGGCCTCCAATGATAGCCCAAATGTGTGATAGGAGCCACAAAGTCAACATATCAGGCTGGTTTACAATTCAAACAATGAATTTTGAACTTGTAATTGAAGCATTGCATCATTAGATGGAAAATCTATAACAACTACTATCAAGACAAGTCAACTGTTGAGGCCAATGCCTTTCCCGCCTTAACTGTTAAATTTGAGGGAGCTCGTCTCTGCAAAATTTGGATACTAGTACCAATGAGGACTTATCAAATCTTATCTTTACTGTAACGTTTTTAAGAACCTCCCGACAAATTACTCTTTTAAGATATTTCAATATTAATAACAGTATGCTGTATTTAAGATTTTAAACATTTGTTAAATTTTATCCCTATGTGTGTAAACAGCTGTATAGCCCATTTGTAATCGTAATAATGTTGTATTTTGTAACCAGACCCAACAATTCAGCCGAATGCATCTCGGCTGCCAGTGGGTCCTGGGATTTATTTGTTCATCAACAATAAACCAGTCTATCAAAATATGAGCATTTTTTTTTGCAAATCAGAAAAAAGAGAAGTGGGCAGACTTCCATGGTTACAGAATATATTGTTTTATGATGGTATGGGATCTTAAAGCTCTAGTTTTAAAATTTAATTGCAATACAAAGAAATTTACATAACAATTTGTACTGATAATATTGGAATTCCAATCATACTAAATAGAAACATGTATGATCAATAAGCAGATATAGAAATATAGGATGTGTTAAAAATAAAAATGGAGATGTGAAAGCATCACCATGTCCTTTGACTAAAGTTTGAGTTGGGGACAGCAGCCCCCTGCATGCGGGAACTTATGACGTCATACCTCTGCATGTTAAAGATTTAACTTTTGCCTCTATGTAACTAGCCTGGGTACCATCCCCAGTAGTATATTCGCAAACTCTATAACTGGGTCTGGACTTGCACACATATGTAGCGTCTGGAGTCTAAATATTCGTTCAGATTTTGAACGAGCGCGCTGATTGGTCCTACTCGTCTAAGCCCTTTTTTGGGTGTGTACATATTAGGTAAGGGCTGTTCGGATGTCCGAACGGCGACGTTAGCGTCCGTTCGAACGTCCGAACGCCTTATCATCAACATGTCCGACGGCGAACCGAACGCTAAAGCACACATGATATAGCCGTAGTCAGTCTTTCCGCGATAAATCATCAACATGGCTGACGCACAAGCCGCTCAGCTCACGGAGGTTGATGTTGATGTTGACCTCGCAATCACGTCCGTTTTGGACGATTTAGACGGAATATCGTCGCTCAAAAATGAGCAAAAAGATGCATTGAATAATTTCGTTCATGATGTTTTGGGCGTCCTACCGGTAAAAAAGAACGCGCCGAGAAAAGGAACACTCGCACGAAGATCTGTGTTTACAAAACAACAAACATCACTTGAATAATGCAGGCGCGACATTGGCCGTCGCCTCTGAGGCTTAGCCAATCAAATGAAGCCCCGCTGCTCGGGCTAGCTCATTACGTGACGTCATGACCAATCGTTTTATATGTGTGCAAGTCCAGACCCAGTTATAGAGTTTGCGAATATACTACTGGGGATGGTACCCAGGCTACTATGTAACATCCATGTCCATAATATCACCAGGGTCCATAATATCGCCACCCTAAGAAAAAGTGTGCTTAAAGATATTTTTACTGCAACATACCCTAGGTATGTACATTTGAGGTGTGCAGGAGTGCATACCAAAAGTATGTTGCACTATAATAGCACACTATTTCTCAAGGTGGCGATATCATGGACCCTGGTGATATTATGGACACAGAATGAGATGTTATAGCATTCTGGTTCCAATTTTTTGGTGGCCCTGGCTTTCCAATGCATGCAGTATGCTATAGACTTGCCAACATTCAAGGTGTAGCTGGTTTTGGTATGTTGAGAAAAAAACTGTCGTAAAATCTACTTCAAGCCTACACAATCTAGTCTCCATACCAACACAACATTACATCACAAGGAACACTAACACTACAAGGGGCCACCCCCTTAGATACACAACTCTCAGTTGCAAAACAAACATTTTCAGATCCAGTTACTTCCCAAGAACTATCATAGAATGGAACGCACTACCCAAACATCTAGTGACACAACTATCTGTCAACACATTCAAGACGGGGTGGGCCCTGCACATGGGCCACCCCGTCTCACAAAATGCAAGTTAATTTATGTTCAGTTTTGTTTTTATTTTCATGCACATTTTCTTCCTCGTCGCACCCCACTGGCCGCAATAGTCGTGCACTCTGGGCGGGATGCCCTAGATAGGGCTTTGCCCAGTATTATATAGAACTAGAACTAGAAGCCTGTTTTGCGGGTCATTTCGAGCTGGGATAAATTCAATAAGCTGCCGGGTGCTGAGGATGTTATGTGCTGTTTAATGTGCTGTTGTGGTTAATCCAAGTGTCTAACTCTAAGTTGAAAGGGTTCAGGGTACTGGACTGGCAGCTGATAAATCCAAGGACACAAAAAAATTGGGGCCAGACTGGCAAAAGTTGAATCTGGTGAATGGAGTGTCCCACGGCTAGAAAGCCAGTTACCAGGCAGTAGTACAGCAAATATATCTGTATTTCTATCTGTATAGCCGGTATAACCGCCCTTTGGCATAACACACAAGCAGCTTAAAAGAGGCTTCCTTAGTCAGCCACAGCTGCAAAGTATAAACTAATTTAAGGTAAACCAAAACAGTGTTAGAAATACCCGTCTGCAGTCTGCAATTTGCAGATAGATTTTCAAGATTGCAGAAAAAAAATTTATACAATCTGTAATTTTGCAGAAGGAAAAAATAGGCTCCAGATTCAATTGTTTTCAACTTAGCAAACTAGACCTCTCTGGCTCCAAGGACAGACAACACTTAGGCTCCTGTTTTGAAGCATCCAGAGCTTCTTCACTAATTTGCATCATCCTTGTCCATCTTTGTTTCCCTTTGGACTTCCAAAAATTTGTCTTCACTAATTTGCATATGAATCAATAGTTTGTGCTTATAAACCTGCAATTCTCTTAGTGTCACTGATGAAAGGTAGTAGTCTGACCATTTCAGGTAGCACCAAAATCATATCGAGTTGCTTAAGAGTTAAATACTGTTTTTTGGGTGTGTCTTTTATCAGTATGTTGTGTGGAAGGATGAAAATTGTGCTAGTACATTTACTGACCCCTGAAGATACCAGTAAATGATAAATTTTCTGTGGAGAAGGATCTATAAAGTCTGAAATTATTAAAAAGAGTGATAGATTAAAAAGAATTCCAGTAATGCTACAGATTTACAAAGCTATATATGATGTAAAAAAGACATTAATAGTTTGAGAATGTTGTAGTATGGAGGCTTGTGTATTTGCAGAAAGTATTTTCAAATTGAAGTATTTCGACCACTGCCAAAATGACAGGAGCTAGGAGGTAACATAGATGTAATACTATTCTTTACCTACCACAAAACATGATAGATTAGGGGAAAATCACAAATCACTACTAGTTCTGTTGAAGGTGAACCAGAACTTCAGCCCAGCATTGCATACTTCCCACGCACAAAATCAATGTAAAACTTATGATCATAATTTCATCCTAAATCCATCTACCCCCCTCCCCTCCGCCTCTTGCAGTAAGCTTTGTGGACATCGCTAGGTCTGTAACATGGTTTCTACAAGAAAAAACAGCGCCATGCTGTAGTATAATCTCACCGTGAAGTATGATGATGGCAGTTCTCTCAGTAGTGACATGAAACAAAGTAAAGTTTGCGGTTTCTGTGCAGCCCAGCCTGGCTTCTCTCACTTTGATCTCAGTAAGGACCGCTACTTCCGGGTCAGGACATGACGCAATGGGCTGTTATAGAAATAAAACTGAAGGGGGGCCTTGGTGAATAAAATATAAAAGGTAGGCTTAAAGAAGTAGAGGAGAGATAGGATTCAGATTTAAAGTAGATTTAATGTCTTAAAAACTGTCTATGAAGAGGTAAATAAGTTTAAAACGTAAAACAGTGAAGATTAGAAACGCATTATGGACGTTTCACCCCCTTCAGATTTATCTTGGAATAGTCCAATCCAAGACCAAGTAGGCCACCCCAAACGACATGTACTCGAGGACATTTTTAACATTATAGTCTGCTTCTATCTAATATTGAAATTCTGAATAATATCATATCTTACAATATGATTCTGCAATGTACGTTGCAAGAAAACACTGGCACTGATACTGATGTTAAAGGTGAAAGGCCATGACCTCCAAGCGCGGGAAACAAGTCGCTGCTTGCCCGCCAGAACACACAACACTGCATAAACCCAGCAGACTTTATACCTTTTACACCTTTACAATTGAACTATCATCTCCTCACGTAGCCGGACGTCCTCCTCTGCTGCCTTAAGATGTCCGAGAGTGAGTTTTAGTTTCATTGTTTTTTTTTTTAGTCAGTTTTGTAGCAAAATGTTGTTGCAAGTGAAGAAACGTAGGTCCCGCTAAACGTTGCGTTGTGACTACTGTATGAATGAACCGGTATTAACGTTACGGTTTGTTACCGTTGTTACTGACGTTATGATAAGGAAAAGAACGTTGCCTCTTTGCCTGTGCGTTTATTCAAATCCAATAGCGACGTGGACTGCAGCCAGAGATCGCAATATTTTATATTTCAGGGTGGTGGTTATTAAGTACAGTCCTGCTATTTTTGGCGACGCCTCTGTGGCGAGCGTAATAACATGTATATTATACCCAGTGGCAGGGATGCTGTTACAAATGTCTGTTTTCTAAAAGCCTTTTTCTTTGTTTCCAGGCAAATTGAAAAAAGTTGCATTCCAGGGCCTGGCCCCAGTGGACACTGAATGCACCAGGCTGCTTGGCAAGGCAAGTACATGTATTCCTCTATTACTTTGTAAATTCAACAAAATAGAACTTTTCTACCACCAACTGTTGAACTTTGGAATAATCTTACGAAGGCAATTTAGGGGGCACACCCCAGTTTATTTGGCGTCTCTATTCGAAGCTGCACACCCTCAAATCTAGCGACCGTCTCTGGCGTGGAATAATTCGGAAGGAGAATAACTGTATATGGGACAAAAGGATATCTCTTCAGCTGCAAGACCAGTTGAGTTTGGTTTCTTGAACCTTTTTAAGTTTGGTAAAATCAACGGAAAAAACATTATTTTCATTCCAAAATGTCTAAAAGTCTAAAAGTAAGTACACACATGCACTTAGACTAGTGATTTCATCTCTGTTTCACATTTCTTGTGGAGGTTTGTCAAAATGAATATTTTCAAGACAGCAGACAGATTTCCGTTCCAGAGGAAAACTCAGCCGACATCTTGCACATTTTGAGACCCGGACATGATGTAAACTTAAAAACCAACATTTTCAACCATCGTTTCATGTCTGTTCCTCTGAAACTGGACTTACACTAACTCTAACTTACACTAACACTAAAGGTTGTTGATGCAGAACAATCAATACTAAGATAAACAAGCAGAAAACAGAACATAAAAAGCCCCCCTCCAAGAAAAAAGCTTGCATTCTCTATACGCTGGCACAGTAGTCTAGTAAAATACAGACCACTTGCTCATTAATATTAACCACTTGTTACACTTTGTTGTTGTCCTCAGGCTCAGGTGTACTGTGAAGGGAACAATGTTTGGGATGCCATGTTGAACCAGGTAAGGAGTAGGGACTGTACAGTAGTTACCAAGAGAAGGGTTGGTACACAAAAGGGGACAGACATTCAATGGTATCTTCTGTACCACAGGTACATGTATAGGACATTGTACTTTTGTGCAAAATTTGTTGGTCTTGGCTTTTTGCATCTTAACCTTCGCTTTTGTTTTCAAGAATGTGTGTATCTGTATCTTTATAACCGCCTTCTGGTGTAGTAACACACCAGCTTCGCAGGCAGGCGGCGCGGCGGCAGCTGGCTATATTACACCGATCCACTTGTTACACCTAACCCTTGAACATCTAGCTCTAGGCATTGTTTAAAGCTATCTATTGACAGTGCCCTACTGTACTTGGTGACAGCGAGTTCCACTCTGCGATAGTTCTAGGAAAGAATGAATAATTCTTGAACACCTCAATCCTTGGTTGATAACTCTGGTACTTGAAGGCATGGCTATTTCTTGTTCTCTTCTGGGCTGGTATTAGGTACGTAGTAATTTGGACGTCCACCAGTTAATTAGTCATTTTGTACATCATGCATAGTTTGGACATTTTTCTTCAGTCTTCCAGTGACACCCACTGCAGGTTACTTTTCATTTCCGTGACACTAGCACCTTTTTCATAGTGGTCCATACAGAATATTTCAGCTTGATTCTGTACCCTTTCCAGTGTGTTGTGTATTCATCTCTCTGTAATAATTTAATAACTCGAGGCTTGCATCCATTGCCTTGATATTTGGTAGGTGGGTACATGTACATGTAGTCTGTTTGCGTGTGTTTACTTGTATGTTAGCACAGCTATGTGTTCGCGCAGTTAAGTGACAGAACATGGGTTGGGAAATTTTGTAACCACAGACCACAAAAGGTCAGACACAGGAAGTTAGGTCCCAGAAGCTGACTGAGAGGTTCAGCAGCAAGTTAGCCAGTAGTCGGACAGGTGCCAGTAGAAAAAATGCATAGAGGTAATCAGAGAAATTGGCAATAATGATTAAAGCAAGAAATTAAAAAAAAAAAAACTATGGATATTTCAATGAGGTACAATGTCTGAAATCTTTCCTTCCAGACAAACTTGCAGTTTAACAACAACAAGTACTACCTGCTACAACTGCTGCAGGAGACCCGCACCAAGAAGTTTTACGTGTGGTTAAGATGGGGACGGGGTAAGTACTTCACCTTTACGTACTGATGTAGGGTAACTGTAAAAACCGGGTGCGTAATACTAGTAAGACTAATAGCGGGTTTTGCATGCGGTGGCCGCGTCTGGTCTGAACGAACCGGGGTGCGTAATTTATTATATGTGCGTTGTTTAAACAGAAAGTACATAAGAAAATTTCAAGGATAATGGCCTTGAAAAATACTAGTACCTACATGTTTCAAGAAGAATCATAAATTCTATTTTCCGGCGCCAAAACAGGGGGAGGGGGGCGCATGTACAAACTTGAAGGGCGGCCGACGTGATGAAAATAAAAGGAGCTAGCTACATGTAAAGTTTTGTTGACACTACGGTCATATTCGTACGTTGTTACCTGAGAAACCTCTGCTCGCTGTCGGAAAGCGTCTACGCCTAACTTTATTGCGTATTAAATTTGTTCCTCATTTTGTTGCATTGTTGCAGATTATTCCGCAAACGGGGGGGCCCGGTTTTTACAGTTACCCTACTGATGTACAGTTTTTTATGCTTCAACTTTGCAAACAAAGTACAAAGTTAACACATTCTGTTCCTGGCTGCCTCTCAAGTTCATGTTGTTAGTCATTCAGATCCCAAAGAAACATGGTGATTTAGGGGCATTTTCATCATCATCATCATCTGTCGACACCCTGGCTGGGGGACGGGGCAAGCTCCTGCACAACACGACGCCACAAAGTACGATCTTCCATTGCAGCTGGAAGGTCTTGTTGTTGTAATCCTGTGTCCCTTGTAAGAGTAGCTGGATATGTGAGTTTTCTGGAGTGAGTCTTGCCATGTGGTTTCCACAGGAGGAGTGATGAGATGACTTCTTCTTTTGCACGATGGCAGTGTCCCGCAAATTTTACACGTCTATGTTTTAATCTGAGTGATACTAGGGGAAGGCTTCCATATATATTCTTTCTCGTTGGATGTTGCTTCCAGTTGATGTTCTGTGCCTTCCTGAGAAGTTTTGTGTATGTTCCATCAAGACGTTTTTCTAGGCGAGTTGTTAAAGTCCAGGTTTCGGCGCCGTAGAGAAGAATAGGTTCGACTATGGCGCGGAAAACTTGTACTTTAGCATTTTAGCAGCATTTTCAGGTGAAGTAAATTAATTTTGAAAACCCCGTGCTGTATGTGTTGTGGTATGGGCTATGATCACCATCTTCTGTTCACTGTAGGAGCAATATGAGACTAACTGACTATACCAGACTACTTTTAGGAAGGGGGAGCCTTTTGGGGTATCATAATTGTGATATCAGCCATCTTTTCATGTAGCATCACTGGTAAAATTACTAAATTAGGCCACACTAATTTAATTTCTTGGTTAACGGATTCGCCCGCTTAATTTTTTTCTGATTTGCAAATAAAAATAAAAATTCAGAATCAACTGCAAAATGCTCATATTTTGTCCTGAACAGTTGAAAACAGTCCTTTTCATCCTAGTTGTTACAGTTGTTCCATCTTTCAATACAATGGTATTAAAAGTTCTAAGGCCATGTTGATTTGATTATATGGATGACATCCTCCGGGAACCCCAAAACTGATGCGCGCGTGCGAATAAAAAAAAAAGTTTTGACAAAAAAAAAAGTTGTTTTCATTATGAAATCTACGTGGTCATGAGGGTTGAACAAATGGGACAGAATATGGTTTGGCGAATAACCTAGTCTACAAGTTCATTTCTTTACAATTTCGTCTTTTTTCGTTTGATTTTGGCATTCTACGACATTGGTATGTTTTTTTTTGTAACTTACGGTATATTTTTGCTCATTTTGCAACTGTTTTGTACGATTTACAGTATGGTTGAAAACTTTTTTTTTGTTGAAACGGCCGAAAATTCATGCGCGCGCGGATGTCATCCATATAATCAAATCAACATGGCCTAAATTCATTGTTTAAATTTTGTTGGCATAATACTTAATGAAATCCACAGATGACGACATATGGCAAATAAACTTAAGTCTGGAAACTAGTTGTACAAGTGTGATTACAACATTGATTAATTTGGATTTTCATGTCGTCACAGTCGGGAAAAGTGGACAGAACAACCTGATAGAGTGTGGACTGAACCTGGACGAGGCCAAGGAAATATTCACCAAAAAGTAAGGAATTCTGTCCCTTTTCTTTGTAATTACAGTTATGAAGGTATTGTTTTCAGTATGTTTGTATGAGGATGGGTACTAAGGTATGTTTGCTTGTGCGTCTGTAAGTTTTTGCATGCAGTAGAATATGGCAGGAGGGAAGGAGAGATTTTGTAAGAGTTACCGCAAATTGACAGGAAGGTCCACCCATACAGCCACTGCTAGTCACCAGGGGTACCCACTTTGGGCTAGTCACAAGAAGTTAGGTTTGGGCACTTTTAGCTGCCGAACCTGTAGCTTGTAAGGTTTGTTATTTCAGTTTTGTTTGACCAAGGAGGTTGATTTTGAATCTCCTTTGTTTGATGTAACATCATGTTGAGGTGTGACAATCCTAGGGAGGTGTCTGGGGGCATGCTGCCCTGGGAGAATACTGTATTAGCAGTTCTCCTGCAATGCTTGTTATAAACTGCTAGGGGGCAGCACCATCACTTGCCAGGCAGATGGAACCGAAATCTTGGCTCCCTGAAATGCTATTGCCTTCATTGTTAGGGGCAAATTTTGCAGTTAGACCAAGCTTAGTTTGCTGACATGTCTTTAAGTATCTTTGTTTGATATGTTTGTCTGTCAAAGATGACGGATTTGGCAAAATTTTGTCATGTGAGGCAACTTTTCTTGAAATGACTGATAGATGGATGCTGGCTAGAGCACTGTGTCAAACCATGTCAAACATCACACTCTGATTTCTTGCTTGATAAGGCCACACCAATGTAATTTCTTGGTTAATGGATTTTTCTAGAAAAATATCGGAGCGGGCGGGCGAAAAAAATAAAAAATAAAAACAGGCCTAGGCATCCTATTATGGCCCAAAATGGTACGATAGGAGCCATGAAGTCAACACACTAGGATGGTTCAAAATTTAAACAATGAATTTTGAACTTTCAATGATACCATTGCATTGAAAGATGGAATAACTGTAACAACTAGGATGAAAAGGACTGTTTTCAACTGTTCAGGACAAAATATGAGCATTTTGCAGTTGATTCTGAATCTTTATTTTTATTTGCAAATGAGAAAAAAATGAAGTGGGCGAATCCGTTAACCAAGAAATTAAATTGGTGTGGCCTAAGGGATCATACAATTATTTTTAGTCAAAGCGCCAAATATGTGACATGCATTTGTGTCACTTTATTCTACATTCAGTCAAGTGTTTTTTTTCTTTCACAGATTTTTCGACAAGACAAAAAATGAATGGGCAAATCGGAAGAAATTCTCCAAAGTTGCTGGGAAGTATGATCTGATACAGATGGACTACACTGTCAAGGTTACTGGGATCTTTTTATTTATTTGTCTCTCCCAATTAGGCATTGGTAATGGTACAAAACCGGTATAAAAAAAACATTTTGTCCAAAACTGAGCTATTTTGTAGCAGTGGGCATGTGTCATTCGATTTAGAAGCTTGATTGAAATCTAATTAACATGACACTATTGTAGCTTGTTCTATCATGAAAGTTTATCTGTGTTGGTAATTACATGTTAAAGTTAAAATGTTTAATCCAACACAATAAAGTTCTCATGTTTTTGACCAGTCACTCTGGTCTTCCTCAGTAGATTGACCCAGTGAGGCTTGTCACGTGGTTTCTTTGAAGTGTGACTGGTCAAAAGCTGTAGTTGAGAGAACTTCTTTGTGTTTAAACATTGTAAATTGTTGTTTGGAGCACATGTCAAATACTTTGCAACATAGTTAAAGAGTTTGACTTGTTCCAACACAATAAGGAGAACTCACCATAAATTTTCGGCTGATCCCGTCAACCTTCGTCAGATTTGTGATGCAATCGCTGACTTTCCGGAAGTCGGAAACGTGATGACGTCAGGAGTGCATCAAAAGTGGCGGGAAGACGGTATCTCCCACCATCACGGTTCAGAGAGGGTTGGTGGGCCCTGATGTAAACTGCCTCCTTCACGCCTCTCACAAAGTAATCCTGCTCCGTATCTAGAATGCGCACCTTGTCCAATGTAACTGTATGTCCGGGGGACTCGATGTGTATGTGTTGCGACACTCTCGCCGATTGTGTGTAATCTGTTCATGGAACATCTTGAACAATTAGCCATTAACACTGCTCCCAATCCCCCACTGTGGTGGTATAGGTACGTGGACGATACACATACGAAACTAAAAAGAGCACACGCTGACGAGTTTACTGAATACCTTAATAGTTTGGACCCCGACATAAAATTCACCACAGAAGAAGAACAGAACAAAACCTTACCTTTTCTGGATACTCTTACAGTGGTGAAAGACGATGGTTCGCTAGACATTAGGATCTACAGAAAACCCACCCACACGGACCAATATCTGAACTTTAGTTCTAACCACCCCCTTGAGCACAAACTGGGTGTCATTCGTACATTGTTTCACAGGGCGGACACCATTATTACCAACCCCCAAGATAGGGAGGCTGAGAAAGAACACATCACTCAGGCCTTGCTAAACTGTGGCTACCCCAAGTGGGCAGTTTCCAAGGCAACTGCTCCCAAACGTTCTACAACTGATAGAAACCGTCAGTCGAACTCTTCTACGAGGCAGAACAGAGGTTTAGTCGTCCTACCCTATGTTAAGAACACCTCTGAAGCTTTACGGAGAATCTTCGGGACACATGGCTTAAAAACGTGTTTCAAAACGACCCGTACGTTACGACAGCTATTAGTGGCCCCCAAAGACAGAACCCCCAAAGAACAAAAGTGTGGCGTGATTTACCACATTCGGTGCGCAGGTCAAAATATCAGAGGACCTTGCCCAGAGACATACATAGGGGAAACAGAACGGTCTCTCAAGACTAGATTTCTGGAACACAGGCGCCCCAGTTCAAACACATCGGAAGTGTCGCAACACATACACATCGAGTCCCCCGGACATACAGTTACATTGGACAAGGTGCGCATTCTAGATACGGAGCAGGATTACTTTGTGAGAGGCGTGAAGGAGGCAGTTTACATCAGGGCCCACCAACCCTCTCTGAACCGTGATGGTGGGAGATACCGTCTTCCCGCCACTTTTGATGCACTCCTGACGTCATCACGTTTCCGACTTCCGGAAAGTCAGCGATTGCATCACAAATCTGACGAAGGTTGACGGGATCAGCCGAAAATTTATGGTGAGTTCTCCTTATTGTGTTGGAACAA